ACATCTAGTGAATAGCCCAGAGAGGCTTAGCTTGCCCAATGGTTACAACCCTCACTTTAACAGAAATGACGACCAATAATTTTTTTAGTAGTGTTATCTTTTTATATACCCTAAGTCTGTCCTTTAAAAAAGTTCTTTAGCAACAAAATATTTATTGTGGTTATGTATCTAGTACCCACAAGTGCCATTTCTTACATTCTCTTCATCTGATCAAAGCTGGAGAAATGTAGTTGGTTAGAGAAGCAGATGAACTGTGCTGATGCCCATAGTTGGACACCCATAGTTATCTTGTCTGTGTCTGGCTGCAGAAGGAACCCTAGCTCTAATTGGCCTATGATCTGATCCAGTGTGGGGAGATGTGCCTTGCCCTTAGGCCTTCCCTAGGAAAAGCACAATAGTACTAGGGCCAAAAATGGATGATTCCTTCTCATTATGGAAAAGACTAGGAGGCTAGAACAGGATCATAGATCGTTTGTGTGCAGCAAACTTTATCCAGGCATAAATGTTTATCTAGATATGGTCAAGTCTGTTGGGCAGTGCTGTCCAATAAAGTAGCCAGTAGCTAGTGACTTTTTGTGTATATTGCCTGCATGTGTATAAGTACACCTTGGTCGTGCAATGCCCCTGGAGGTCAGAAGAAGTTGTTGGATTTCTGGGGAATGGAGTTAAAGACGGTTCGCAGCTGCCATATGGGTGCTGGGAATCGAACCCGGGTCCTCTGTAAGAGCAGTCAGTGCTCTTAACCACTGAGCCATCTCTCCAGCCCCGCTAGTGACTTTTTAAAGTTTGTTTAAAATCTGTTTTTTCAGTCAGACCAGCCACATTTCAAGTATATTAGCCACATGTGACTAGTGGCTGCTCTGTTGGACAGTAAAGATTATAAAATAGTTTGATCATCTGAAGGTTTGCTGGTAGACAATTTCTTCTGGATCAGAGATAGAAAATAACCTACAACCCGAAATTTTCCCCTTTTTTCTTCTATTTCAAACTAGAGCAAATCATTCTATAACAGTGTTACATAAAGTATAGTTTGTTTGCTTTCTCAATAAAGAAAGAACTCAATTCATTCCCTTGTTCTTCTGGTTAATTGGTGCTGGCTCTGGGAAAACTGTAGAAAGAGGATCCTAGTCACATTCATGCCAGCCCCAGATTGTTTGATTGACAGCCATCTCCTTGGAAGACAGAGCTCTGGGGCAAGGGTAGGAGTAGTAGTTGTGGTGTATATATTGGGTGTCTTCTAGACAAAACCACAAGGGTAAGAAAAGAACATTTAAAGCAAGGGGTGGGCTGTTACAATTTGGTGAAGATGGGGTTTTGTTTGTTGTTGCTTTTTTAAATATTTTATTATTTTTATGTGTATAAGTATAGTGCCTGCACGTATGTAAGTATACCCATGTCATTTGATGCCTGTGGAGGTCATAAGAAGGCATTGGATCCCCTGGAACTGGAGTTACAGTTGGTTGTTAACTGCCGTGTGAGTGCTGGGAACCAAACCCAGGTCCTCTGCTGGGTCATCTCTCCAGCTCCTTGTTTATTGTTTTTAAGAATTCCTTTGGAGAAAAAAAGTTAACCTGTGAAGTTACACTGTTCCAAATATTTCTCCAAAATATTTGGAAAATTTGGAGAAATTTTCCAAAATTTCTCCTCTAAGAAAAGATCATTTGCTGTCTGTTTCTCAATTTAAATAAACAATGCTTGTCCTTGATGTATAGAGAAGTCACAATAGCTGCCAGTTCTTGGTTCATCCACAAGGTAAGGGATGGATGGAGAGTGAATGAAATCAACAAACCCACCCATGGTGCGTGCAAAGTTAGCCTTATGTCGATGATACTTTCTACTCTACTTGGAACAACATATAACTGACTGAGCTTTTTTCTTTGTTTTACTTCTTTAATGTCCTCTGATGAAGGGTAAAAAGTGTAAAATAAAATTAAGGGAAAGAAGTAAAAGTTGGTATTGCTTTGTCTATCCTTACATAATCACTGTTTTCAGAATTTGAGGTCTATATCAGATAACACTTTTTTTTAAGTCTCTAATGGTTATGGGTATCTAGGATTATTTTCCTGTATTCAAGCTAGAAAATGGGGTTTAAAACGAGAGCACAAGTTTTAAAATTGTTGTGTGACTTTTGAGGAAAGTACCATAATAGGCTCTCTGAGCCTTGGTTTTCATCATCTGTAAAACAGGGTGTGTCTTCCATGAGTAATAGATAAAGAATAAGTGAACCCTAACACCCAGAGTGCCTTGTGTCACTTGGATGTTAAGCCATGTTGTCTGGAAAGCACATATCATATGCACATAGCATCCAACACTCTTCTTTCTGACCTTAGCTGGCCTTGCCATCAAGTAGATATATGACTTTTGTGTAGTTGTTTAGCTCCTTTAGATTTTAATTTTCTCCCTTGTAAAATAGGAGTAACAACAGAAGCTATTACAAAAGCATCAGTCAGGGTTGGATGAAATAAAGACATCAAGATAATGTAAGGGCATTATAGTTCATGGCACATGGTGAATGCGCAGTAGGTAGGTATTTGCTCTCAGGGCATCAACTCTTATGAGGTTATACTAGGAGCTGTCCTGCCAGTGGATAGATTATCAAACCCATTCTCTCCTCTGCTTTGCAGTCTGTATTCTCCAAACTAGGTCTTTTATGCTAAACATGGCACATTTTAGTTTATTACTTGTCCACTATAAACTATTTTAAGCCTCTTTTATTAAGTTTTTGTCACAACATTTAGTTATCATAAAGACCTTCCACTCTCTTATATTGTCATATTCTACAGCAATTCTACAAGCTCATGTTAAATCAGTTTACAAGGCCTGGTATCTAGTCTCAGAGCAGGGCGGACAGGAGCAGGGTTAGTACAGGTTAGGGATCTGTTCGGTCCTACCAGTGCTGGGGTCTTTGTCTCAGAATCTGGTCCCTGCCTCGGCCATAGGAACAAGAGTACTTAAGAAAAACAAAACAGGGTCTGGAGAAGAGGTGCTCTCTTCGTTTTCAATAGCTTCTTCCCTGTCCTTTAGTCATCATGTGCTTTCCTTCCATCCTCAGTACCTGCAGACAGAAGTGATAAGCCATGTTTGGTTTCTGAGGCTTCTTCTGAAGTCTGGCCCACCCTGAAGAACACAGGCAGCATGTCCCACACAGCCAGAGTGTCCCACACACCCAGAATGTCCCACACGCCAGAGCTGCCAGAGACTGCTCCTGACCTGTGGAAAACAGTGTTCTGTCCAAAAAAAGTATTTTGAGTCATTCGGTGAGAAGACACAGGCCTGCGCTGTTTTCACTTAAGAACTTCTCTACCTAGGAAAGAAACACTACACTGTTGCTAAAAATGATTTGTCTCTTTTCACAGTCTTCAGATTGTATTAAAATCTATAATTCTTGCATTTGTAAATGTCAAAATTATTTAGGAACTTGGGACATTGTGTAGGTGAACATTTTTCTTCAATTTTCTTCTCTTTCCTGATGACTTAAGTCACTCTACCCTGCCTGCTTATGCTCAAAAACCTGTGCCCAGTGCTTCGTCCCTGACCCTGTTCTGAAATGCTTCCTCTGTCGCCCTGTCACCTTCCATCCACGACACTGCCCAACTTTCACACTACCACCTCCCAGCTGCATTGGTTAATAACAACTTGAAAAATATTGTGACTTCTGAAAATAATACATACCCAGTATAGAAATACAGAGATAGCCCATAAGCACGAGAAAGAAACATGTTGCCATGTTGAAGGAGATGCTCTGTGTTCTCGATTGTTATTTCCAGTCTTGGGAATCTATTCACGTGTCTGTTTGTGCTTAAGGGAATTTACCTTGTAGTTTTTTACTATCTTTTTTTTTTTTCTCAAGTTATCAGCATGGTCTTCTATCATCAAGCGTTTTTTTTTTAAAAAAGTTAATGAACAAATAATATTCTTTCACATGGATAGAGCAAAGTTTATTTAACCATCTTGTGAGCCATTTATATTTTATTTCACTGTTAAAAGCAACGCTTTTGGGGCTAGAGAGATGGCTCAGCAGTTAAGACCAGTGACTACTCTTGCAGAGGACCAGGGTTCAATTCCCATCACCCACATGGCGGCCACAGACTGTCCTTAACTCCAGTTCCAGGGGTATCGGAAGTGCTCTTCTGACTTCCATGGCATTGCACAATATGGGTGCACTCACATACATGCAGGCAATACACTCATACACATAAAATAAAAATAATAAAATATTTTTTTAAAAAGCAACGCTTTCTTTTCAGCACATGTTCTCCATGGTGTGGTAAGAATATGCACTTTCAAATTGCACTCGAGCTAGATTTTAGCATCAAAGTGTACTAATATCATAGCAAACCTTAACAACATACTGCCAAATCAATTTCTAGAAATATTCTATCAACTCTCAGTCATATGCATAATGTAACTACCTGTCTAATCTAACCCCTTAGCATTGTTGGATACATTTTTAGTATATAGGCACATGACAAAAATTTTGTAACTTATAGGAAGAAATAACTAGCTTAAAATGTTTAATTGGCTAATCACATTCCTTTGTAAATTGTTTATGAACATCAGTATCTTTTCATTTTTTTCTAAATTACTGAGTTCTTTGTATATTATTATTATTTATAGCTAAAGTTTATTGAGCATTTTGAAGTTTCAGATGAGGAAATAAGAGCTAGAAAGGCTGTCTGGTTTGAGTATTGCCAGGCCCAGGGTGTATGTTCTGTAAACCCTGGAGGTTTGACTGCTCGCCTTTGGTCTCCCAGCACCTGCACAGCCAGGGCTGTCCACAGAGTAGGAGCTGAAGGAGTGCTTGCTAATGCTTACAAACACTGCCTGTTTTCACCTCTGCTCCCTGCACAGAAGCCAGTGTTTCCTGTGTGCCTTTGTCCCAGCCTGTGCTTTCAGCTCAGATGAGTCAGCATCCCTTGGACTTTGATTGCTCCCATATGTTTTTCATGACACTTTTCTCTAACTCTGTAAAATCAACTTATTTCCCACTTCATTTCTAGGTAACAAACCTGAATTTGGCAAGCAGTGTCATAAAAAGAAGCAATGCTTCAACTCCCCCCATCCTTCGACCTGTCATCAGTCCCAGTGGGCAGACGTGGTCCATACAGTCAGACCTCCACGCTCCCGAGAACCACTCCAGCCCCCCTGGAAGCAGGTATGTGAAAGGCCCTGGCACTAGCATTCAGACTGTGTCTGCATCTTGAGTGTGCAGGCCCACAGAGATTTGTGGAGATTTAGTGCTGAGTCTTGCCCATCTAAATTCTCTAGCTTTTGAGTCCAGGGGCTAGTTTAATTTGTATTAACGTTTTTTAATAGAGTTATGAAAATCTCCATTTGTCCTTGCTTTGAGTGAACAGTTTAATGGGCTGAGTTCTGACATTTTGCCCTTGCCTCATTTCACTTTCACACCTTGCACTAATAGTGCTTCAGTAACCTTGGCCTCACATCTGCCTTCTCTGCTTTCACAAGCGAGGTCACGTCATTAAACTCAAGCACCCTCCTTGTGTATGTTGATTTGAGCATGAGAAGGTAGTCCTTTATTAGTTTAAAAGAAGCTGTAGGGGATAAAATCCAAATGATTCTGGATCTCAAGCAAGTTCTGAATTAAAAAAGAAAGCACTATGTTGAATTATGGACTCTTTTTGTATTTTACATTACATGCTCTGTATGCAATATATATATGAAATGGGTTCCCAAATATGAACTGGTTCATAGTCTTCAAACATGGCAATGTCATAAAAGACAAAACAAGTTCTTCCAGATAAAGAAAATTAAACAACAAGCCTAAGTGTTCTGAATCAGAGCCAGCAGGGAGAAATGCTAGGAAGAATATATCAGGGTCTGGAAGATACTCAGCAGGTAAAAGCGTTCACCTTGAAAGCCTGACTTTAATCCCCGGAACCCATGGTGGAAAGAGAGAAGCCGCTTACAAATGTTGTCCTGTGACCTCAGCATATGCTGTGGCATGCATATAAGCTCACAGCTGCACACACACAAACCTCAACGTGTGCTGTCGTGTACATACAAGCTCATGGCTGTGCACACGCACACACACACAGGCATTCGTGCTTGAACAGTAATAATTTTTTAGAGACATAGTAATTTTTTAAAAAGAACAATATTGAGACAGTTGATAAATTGGACTGTAAACTATAGATTGTTTTTGAAAACACTGTATTTAGATTACCATTGTCTATATTAAATTTACAAATGAAAGAGAGAGAGATCCTAGTACATCATGCCTTAGTGTTATTAAGTATGGAGTTAACAGCATCAGTCCCTAAGTCAAATGGAACCACGGAGAAATGTAACTGTTTCAGTGAGTGATGAGTTCTGGCCGCTGGGATTCTCTCCTATAAGAAGCTGTGTGTCAGGTGTCCCAGTGAGTCCCCGCCCACTGCCAGTTCAGCTGCCACCTCTTCTATGCTGCTTTGCTGGGAGCTTGAGAAGAAAGACCAAAGACCTGGGCAAGGACGAGCTACGTGATTACTTGAATATCTGTTAGTGTCAGAATTAGTACTTCAGGAGCTAATTTGGGAACCAGAAACTATGCCCAGGAAGTGCCATAAACATAAGCACATTACATCATGCTGTGGAACAATGTCTTTTATACCCACAGTCCTTGTAGTTGGGGTGAAATGAATCATCTCGGCTAAGGCTTAGAAGAGTTAAGACCAAGAGCACCTTTGAGCTAGGGCATCTGCCACACTGTTCTCACAGGAAAAGAGCAACCACATTCCTGAAACATAAGTTGTAAAAGAGAGATCCTGTTATACCATAGAGCTTTATTTACCATGTAAAATGTTCCCAGATATTCCAGTTTCCCTGTTAAAACCAGAGCTGTTTCTATGAAGAACATTTTCTCTGCCATCTTGGATAGCCCATCTGTTTGACAAGGCTACTAACATTTTCCATACTGTAAACAAAATGTCAAAAGAACACATTTGGAGAAAGCTTTAGCACTTTCCATATTTATAGATGTAAAATGGAATGACTTTAATAAAAACTATGACTGGCTGTGGAACTTTGTCTTGGTAGTACCTTCTCCCAGCCAGACCATGTGGGCCCTGCAGTAACATAGCATGCTATGAGCTTTGCTTCGGCACCTTTGCAGCCAGAACACAGTCCTCGTGAAGCCCTTTAGGCTTTTTGTTTTGACTTAGTTGTACCTCCAGCAGGTCTCCTTGCCCCCTATTTGAGCAAAAGCCCAGTTGCCAGTTCCCACTCCAGTCAAAAGAGCCCTGGGAACTCTTCTGTGGCCCCCAGATAACCTCTGGATGCCGGGACAGCAGAGTGCTCAACTTGGGAGTTCCAGTTCTTTGGAATTCTAGAGCACCTACCATCAAGCAGCACTAAGTGAACTCTGAGGTCCTTCCACACATGTCTGTGCTGTGATCCCAGCCAGAGCATTCTGCACAGTACTGAATCCCAATTTTCATTTTCACCTGGTAAGTCACTGTGAAGTGAATATTTTGTGGATATTTACTTAGTTTCTTGTTCCCTCCTTTGTAGTAAGGGTGACTTAAGCTTAATGAATATGGGATTCATAGCTTAGAGATGTGAGTTTTATTACTAGTTTTGACACTAAGTGACCCCAAGCTATTCATTTAATCTTTTTATTGGGTAAGCATACTTACATATAAACTGGCCTGTTGTGAAAGTTTTTGGATTGCCTTTGAAGCACTTTGATCTCCCTGGAAGTAGGGGCTAAGTAAATAAAAGGTACTCTTACTAGCTTTTCTGTGATAGCAGCAGTGGATTCCAGGGCCAGTCTACTCTGCTAACTCCGTAAACTCTTTTAAACTGCAAATGTTTAAAAGATGTAAAGAGATTCCCATTGCTGGCTGTACTTTTCATCAGCGTGTCGGAGAATTCAGTGACTTGGTAGCCACAGGAATGAAAACTGGTGACTCATAAGAACTCTGCAGATAGTGTTACTCTTCACCTCCCTGAGCTGTTGCTATTGTTCTCAATTTTGTGGATTGCAGAAGTTTTCACCAGACAAACTTATTCTTCCCTCTGTTGGAAACTGCTCCAAATGTAGCCTCAGGGCTGTCGTCTCCCATTGGGTCAGTGTGAGCTCAGCCCAGCGCCTCAAATCCCCTGGTTCCTTTGGTCTGTCTGGAGTCCCTGTTCAGGCTTTGTTGTGGGAGAAGGAGGCAAAGAGCCCACAACTTGCCCAGACAGTCTGAGGCCTGGCCATGAAGCTTGCAGTTCCCTAGACACTCTGGAGTTGGACTTGGCCCGCCATTCCTCTGTTGTTACTTTTCAGAGGTAATAAGTGAGATTAATTGCAGGCCATTCTCCAAAAGAGAGACTAGTTTAGGGCCAAATGCAGTCACATGTGTAAAAGCCTGAGGTGTACCTCCAAGCAAGGCCAGCTTAGAATTACCCAGGAGGGGCTCCAGAATGCAGGTACCATGTTTATTTTCCTTCAAGTCTTGTCTTCGGTCTCTAGATGCTGGTACCTGGCCATTTCAGCCTTTCCTTAGGTAATGAACAAGATTGGGTTCTCCATTATCCATTTTCTGGGGACAGGGAGAGCCGTTAGCAGTTGAGAGCTGGTATACAGATGCCTCTCCTCCCTCCTGCCAGCCTTCCGTGGAACTGGACCACACCGCCAGGGAGGATGTCTAGGTGAGGAGCACCTGGTGGGCTGGGGGCCATTTCTCTTTGTGAGCCATTCTTCAAAGACCTGGAAGGGTTACTGTAAAGTCCTGGCTGCTGCTTGGAGTGATTTGGGAAGGACAGGGCCTCAGACAGCTTGGCGGGAACCTGAAGCCCTGTTTTTTTCCAGTCCAGCCCTTCCTTGTGGATGGAGCTGTCAGGGAATCCCACGAATGTCTGGCTTCTGCCCCTTTGTGTGTTTTTCCAGCATTTGTCATTGAATTATTTTTATCCATCTCTGGCTTTTTCGCACACACATCCTGGGGATTTGTCTGTTCCTCGATGTTAAAGGTGGGGGAGTTGACAGAAGAATATAAGCAGGCTTATTCTACTTTTTGTGCTATGACAAGACATTATGTATGTGCACAGGCTGCTTGGCCTGGTCAGCCCCGACTTTCCAGTAAACATCTGCATTGCAGAACTTTGCATTCTACCAGAGGATGGGAAATCTTGGCATTTCAGAACCTTTTTAATGCTGCTCTGTCTGTTCTCTTATTCAATAGCAGGCCAGAAAAGGCCTTGTATCTTACTGTCCCTAATGTTTAGGAACGGGTTTTTCAGAGGTTCCAATTCCAGTTTAGCTGGTACTTTTCCCCCCTTGGTTTAGATTACGTCTCACAAATATTGCTGGAGTCAGGTCTCTGACTTCACATTTTTTCATTTTAGTCCTTAGCAGTCCATTTGTTCATTTTTCACAGTATGTTCTATGTGTTTTCCCTGTCAAGCATGTTCCATGCTCGAAGAGCAGTCAAGAACACAGAATACCCCTGGTCTCACAGACTGTGTGGTCCGTGTTCTCAAGAGAGGGTTGACTGCTAGGTAGGGACTAAAGGATATGTACGCTCTGGTGCTTGATCACCAAGAAGTTAGCATCTGGTATAGGGAAGGGGCTATCTACACATGAAACAACTTGAGAGCAGGGTCAGGCAGCACCTGGCAAAAGTAGTTGGAAAGAAATGAAGAAAAATATGTCTGACTTCAATCTTCTCACCCTCTGTTGCTGCAGATGGTCAGACCTTGAAGCTAGTGCACTAAAGTGAGGTGAGCCCATCCAAAGGGACAATGTAGGAATCTATTCACATGAACTATCTAAAGCAAAGTCATAAAAAACAGAACATAGATGATTACAAGGGACTGGGACAAGAGGAGAGGGAGATTTGGTGTTTAATAGATACAGAGCTTCAATTTTGGAAGATGAAAATGTTCCTGAGATCTGTTCTAGGACATTGTGTATATGTTTCATACTTTTGAACTGTACACATAAAATGCCTGTAGTCCCAGCACTTGGGAGGCAGAGACAGGCAAATCTCTGTGAGTTCAAGGCCAGCCTGGTCTACATAGTGAGTTCTAGAACAGCTGGGGCTACAGGGAGACCCTGTCTCAAAAACAAAACAAAAACAACAACAAAATAGTTACCATGGTAGATATAAAATTCCATGCTTTTTACTACAATTAAGGAACACACAAAGCACAGTCTATGTAAAGTTT